CCCAATATATTCTTTGAATACAGCGGGCCATTTTTAATTGATAAGGCTATAAAATGCTACGAGTTTCATTCCCATGCCATTTCTTCGATTTACTCCCTTTCTGGACCACTTTTAATGCTGCAAACTGCTAAAGTACCATCGGTAGCTGGAGAATTTCGCTTAACGTCCCAGGCGAGAGAGCTCCTCGGAGAAAAAAAAACCAATCTTTTGTGTGGAAACTCATCGGTAGTTCATGAATAAGGTCCAGCCGTCACAGACTCTTTACAAAACGAGACTAGGAATTTATGAAATGACCCGGTTCACTGGATCAAAACGTAGACAACTGGTTTAATAAACAATAATTTGCAGTCTATAAAAGCAACTTCTGAAACGGCTGCAGACTTTTACCGCACTTGTAGTTAAGCTCGCAACCATGGCCATTCAACAGATAACAGAAATAATTAGTAAAAGCCATGAGATGTAAGATATGTATCGGAAAGAAACATATGGCATTGCCTTCCTTCTTTCTCAACAAACTAAATTTGCGTCCTTGAAAAAATCACGTCTCAAAATTGAAGCTGGAGAAGTACTGGTTTGGTTTCCGAACTTAAAAATATCGGTAACGAAATACGATAACCAAAAAAAAACAGGGGACAGCCTCGCATGAGTTGGTTAAAGTGAGTAAGGACATCAGCACTCCCACAGCTTCTCCCTGCCACGACGATGCTCCGCAGGCTGCAAAGGTGATGCGAACTTTTTGAGCAGTTGAAGTGCGCAACCGCGTCGCAGCGATGACGCAGCGCGTACGCCGTACACCTCTCGTACACTCGCCGATCACTCTACGCCGCGCCCGTTATTATGGATTCGTTTGGGCCGTGCCTTTGGCCCAGGGTCATTCCATCCGGCTTCTTCTGCCTCAGTTGTGCATCCCTGAGTGGGGTTCCCCTCAGTCGACGAGCAGGTGTCGATTCTGAGATCTTGGGAGTAAAAGTCAAAAGTTATTTTACGTGTAAACTTCGCAATTCCGCTGAAAAGATCAAGCAGCCTTCATCGCTTTTTTCTGTGTGTTGTTGCATATCATATGTGTGATTCATGAGTTCTTTGCTCTCAGTGCAAAGTACGAATAGGCAGATATAATCGCAGTGAAAGCATAGCCTAGTCATGTACACTTCGTTATGCTTCGAGGGTGCTGTTGCCTCACACTGTGACTTGCTTAAAATCCTCGTCATAACGTCCACCAACTATCAGTTTGGTGCTGTAATGAACGCTGCATTTTCTTCGCAGTGGTGAACAATATCCGTTAGATCTCTAACGTAGTACTTGTATCCTGCCGTAGAGAACTTTGTAGCCGTATGCCTTTTGGAGGCATCCTGTTGCTTCTGTCTTGCCACAAAGTATACCCTATTTCTTATCGTTTATATTCTTGTGTCTTCAGAAGCTCTTGAGTTCCAACTCTGCCCATGTCTTAGAATGCGTTCATACTTTGCGGCAGCGTTTTGAGCGTCTAACTAGGGAAGGTCGTCAGGTCGAAGTGGCCATTTGTGATGAGATGTAGATCACTAGACGTGGTTTTGGACGCTGATCTTGAATCTGCCTTCAAAATTTGCAAAGCGATTCTCTGAACGGAGTTATGGAGCCGCGTTTACCACGCAACAGGTCATGGGATCGGATCCCTGCTGAGCTTAACTTTTTTGCTTGTTGCGCAAACGTGGCAAAAAGTGATTTTGCCGTCACTACTACTTCAGTTCTCACCTGAGCTTGTCTGAAGAAAAGTTTGCCTCCATTTATTACTGCGCTTGGACTCCTTGTAGACTACAGTGCACTACAGTGCTTCTACAAGGAGTCCAAGCGCAGTAATAAATGGAGGCAAACTTTTCTTCAGACAAGCTCAGGTGAGAACTGAAGTAGTAGTGACGGCAAAATCACTTTTTGCCACGTTTGCGCAACAAGCAAAAAAGTTAAGCTCAGCAGGGATCCGATCCCATGACCTGTTGCGTGGTAAACGCGGCTCCATAACTCCGTTCAGAGAATCGCTTTGCAAATTTTGAAGGCAGATTCAAGATCAGCGTCCAAAACCACGTCTAGTGATCTACATCTCATCACAAATGGCCACTTCGACCTGACGACCTTCCCTAGTAAGCGTGTTGAGCGACCAGGAAAGTATGGATATATCTAGCGTTTCAAGCGTCCACCAGCATATTGAGCGTTTTGAGCGTCTAAAGCTGCGTTCGTACCGTGCGACGACGTCGTCAACGTCGACGTAAGCTGCGTTTTCTGCGACTAGTTCGTGAAGATTATATGCGTATCGATCCGACGAAAGCTGCGTAACCGACGACTACTTCACGAAGATTAGATACCTATCGGAAACCGACGAAAGCTGCGTAAGTTGCGTCGTCGAATCGATACGTATCTAATCTTCGTCGGTTACGCAAGTTACGCAGCTTTCGTCGATGTTGACGACGACGTCGCACGGTATGAACACAGCCTAAGAAAGTATAGGTATTGATTATCGCTGAAAATGCTCAACGCCGGGTATTCACGCTTTCTTAGTCGCTCAAAATGGCCAGAATGCTGCCGCAAAATATGAACGCTATCTCAAACTCGACATGATTGCCTTCTTTAATATGCTGATTTGAACAATTTGTAGGCAAAATTCCGTTATGAGAGAGGAGCTCAAGATAAGAACACACTTTGGTTTTTCCTCTTCTTTTTGAGGTCGTAAGTATGCTGCGGAGGGGGGGGGATGGACAACAAGGATATGGAGAAGTTTTACTCGCCGCGACTCCTAACCCTTCCAGCCAACTGTCACTAACAGTAGCATTGCTCACAGTCTGCGACCTTGCGGAAACGGCGATGAGCGCATCTGCGGAAAGATTTTGATAGGGAGAAAAGTGGGTCGCGCAGGCGAATCCAGCCAACGCGCGATGAGTTAGATGCTTATCGATCGGGGTGGGCGAAGCTGGCGCTTCACCACTCTCCCATTTTTCGCTTTGGCGGAGTCAAGTCGGTGCAGCTAGCGCTTTTCGCGTTTGCACCTGATCTTCGACGTTTCGCCAAAGCGGTTGAAGACTTCTCGGTTGGTACCTATTCATTTGTTTTCCCCAGATCTTCGATTCATTATTGTCGCAGATAACGAACAATACCTAAAATTGCCCTGTCGCTGAACAGGGGAAGATTGCATGGCGCAACCAAGGGAACCAGCTTGTTGAAAAACTTGCTGCGCCATATACGACGCCTTCCTCCTTCACAACGACCCCCATGATGTTCCCCACAACGATAATGTGCTTCATTTACAACTCTTGGTTTTTAAAGGGAGTAGGGCTACTCAGGGATTTAATGAGAGGCCGTAAGGTAGGTGGCGGATCACAACTTCGAGGGATCATCGATCACGGAATTCTATATGTGGACTTATTGCTTGTCTACGAATGGAAACCTCTCCCAATTGTCTCTGAAATACGGGTCTAGTAGCCTCCGGAGGGAAACCCTTCAAAATATTTTTGGCTCGGGTACGAACCACAAACATTTTGGAGGGTAGTGGGGAAGGGGCAGTTTGGCTTGATTTCCGCCTAGTCTAGTGAAATATTCCCAGAAAATATGCACGGCTCTAGGTCGAAGCTGAACTTATAGTGCATAGTTCTGAGGGCTGTAACGATCTCCCTTGGGTAATTTGTGAATATGCGAAAAGAAATGGATAAGAATCGTTTCCCGCATTCTCCACTTGGGCTTGAATCGACACAATCGATTCGTATCTGGTCGTTTTCGTGGCTTCACACATTCTCCAGTCTCTGCATAATGATGCTGATCTCTCCAAAATGCTGGCTATGAGACCGGAAATGGATATATGTTCTCACACGTATATCGTAATGAAGTTTGCAGTAATTCAAGTGGGTTATTTTGGAGTGAGCTGGTTTTGAGCGCTCCGGGAGTCCGGCTTCGTGGGGGCACTTTGCTGGTTCGCTGCCGATACCTCTTGTGGAAACATGTGAATCCTGGTAAGCTATGCAATAGCAAGAGCTTAGTACATTTGAAGGAGTCTATGGGTCTCATCACCTCGGTGAAACATGTTTAGGAGAAAGTGGCGAAAGTGCAAAGTGCCCCTAAGCCGAACAGCGCCGGATTTCGATACGGCTTCTTGACGACACTTTTGTATTTGTGGAACAGGGCGTGTCCTTCTCATCTCCTGAGTCGAACTGTTTATGCATGACTAGGCGGCTGCATTGTGTACAAACATTGGCGCAGTTCGGCGACGGGGGGCATTTGCACTTTCACTGCTAGAATAACGTGTGAGTGCTCGAAGGCAATGGCACAAATAGCCATTGAGCTGAGTGGTCAAAAGTGGCCCCGGTAGCGTAATAGGGAACGCAACTGCCCGGTAAGCAGAAGATGCGGGTTCGAATCCCGTCCGTGGTCCGACTTTTGCCCACAACTCAGCATTCTTGTGATAACTGCTAAAATAGTTCCGGTTTTCAAGACTCACTCCGATTACTCGAACGCTAACCCTTGTGAAGCTGAGGCAAGTTCATTGAGCCGCCATGGTGAAGCCTGCCAACTTTGTAAGCTACAGAAATAGCTCTCTAGATTTTCACGTCGATGGGAAGCAGCGGAAAAGCAGAAATGCCCCCCTCCCGTCGCCGAACTGCTCCAAACATTTATTCGCCGCTATTCCGGTCAATGCTCAAATCGTCCCCAGTTCGTGATGATAGCAGCAGCATTAGCAGCAACATAGTTGGTGTGCGAAACCGTACGTCGTACATCCTAGTACGGCGAATGGCTGGCAATTGTCTGGGACGCCATTATTTTTCCTTTTTTTCCGGAGGGGATCGCGTTCTGTTTGATTACGGTTAGATAACACAGTGCAAGATGGAAGCGTCTCGCTCTGTCGGCTTCACTGATTATATCGTTCTCGCTCACGCATTGCTGATTCAGGAAGGTGCCTGCTGTGTTTGCGCCGTGATGTGGAAGTGATTGGATCCATCTAGCAGTGATTCATTTCCTTCATTCACAAGGTATCCTCCAACGGCATGGGTGGACACCTGCCTGAACTGTGGACTCCTCTGCTATGGTAGGTTGAGAAATATTGTTGTCGTTAAGAATATAACGACTTTATGCGTAGTTTCTAATCCGCAGAATGGTTTTCGATAACGGTGAAAGTGTTCAGAGTGTAAAACATCGTTTGCCATTCATCTTTTATCTCGCAAGGTTATTAGCGTCCATTTCGTCGCTCAACTACTAGAAAAGCGTCCAAACTTTGTGGCAGCGTTTTGAGCGTCCGTCAGCGTTTTCAGCGACAGTTAGACATTCATAGTCGCTCGAGGCAAAGGTGGTGTAGTGACAAGTGGCGCGCTTACACCCGGTCCTGGGTTCGAATCCCGGGTCGACTCCCGCCCAGGCCAACCAAGCCTTCTACCCTCCGGGGACGGTGAATTGGTACCAGATTCGTCTGGGAGGATAAAACACTGACTTGTACATCGGCTGGCCACCGCAAGTCATTGTATAGGCCACATCGCAACTGCTCGCAAACTGCTCGAAATGCTAGCGGACGCTGAACGCTCGATACTAAACCCCTCTAGCCGCTTAAAACGCCCAAAAAGCCGACAGACACTTAGAACGCTGGCACAAAGTATGGAAGCCTTCACGAGTTTAACGAAAAGCAGTGACAAAATCGTGCAAGGCACAGGATGCCGAAGCTGTTCGGTGGGGGGCTGGCGTAAGGACAAAAGTAATGTTTCGATTAAGCGTTAAAGATGCCAGAACCCTAACTCGAGAGCTCAAATGTTCAATCATACGCTAGGAATGGATTACGGCCTAGTTGCAGCCTAAGAGTACATTTTTGAAGCCCGCGCCGCAAGTGTGTGAGAGTGACTGGAAACTACTCGGGCCGGAGAGCGCTCCCGTCTACACTGTACTAATCAATAGTAACAGTGTAGGCTAGCGACTTCCTGAACCGAATCTACTGCGCTAGTAAAGTACCCACTAGCGCAGTAGATCGGTTAACAAAACCAACAAAAACCAAAAAACAAAAAAGAAAAAAAACAAACAGGAAATTCGAATTTTTGTGCGGAAGAAGCCTGATCAAAGGGCGTTTTTCGTTTTCTCCCGCTTCTTAGTAACCCCGTATAGCACCTCGTTCAGCGACATATCCTTTTCCAGTTTTCCAACGAATTTCCGAAGCGAACACAGAAGAATTGACTTTTTTTTGAAGGGTTTTGGCTCCTTGACTTATTATTCCTTCTGTGTTCTCGTAATTGGGTAAAAGCTACCCACAGTCCAAGCAAAAGCATTGTCTACTTTATATGGTTCCTTTTTCCGCCCTGGATCCTAATTTTTTTTTTTCACTTTTTAGGTTCACGAAACAACATCACAGTTATGATTCACTTTTCACTGAAACAATTAGCACACTGTTCTATGGAGTCGGTAACCTAAAGGATTCCGTCCGTCATTTCATTGCCATAATGGTTCGTTCGGCTTTATTCTCGAATAGAAGTTAGAAATATGTATGTAGAAAGCGCTGGAAGCTGGTACTGCATATCAGGAGGTGAACCAGCTGCTCGAATTGCTTCATATTATGAACACACATATTTTCACGTTTCTCGCTGTTCAAAATCCAAACCGTCCCTATCAGGCTGTCAACGCAAAAAAATGCTATTTTGTGACGAGCTGGAAAGGTGGCGATAAGGGGCAAAGTCTGCGCGTTGCAGCATTTTTAACGCATTCTTAATCGCTGCCTTCGTCAGTTCAGGGATTAGGAGTTGTGCATGGTGAAGAGAGCATTGATTGCGAAAGCAGTTCAATTACACAACCATATTTTCTAGCCTTTTTAACGATATTACGGTCAAAAGCCTCTTCTGGGCTTAGCGCACGAGTGTAGTCATCGAATGACGTGGAAAGACAAAGGAGAAAGAAATGGATAATAGAAGTCGCGTCGGGGCCGTTTATATTCATGCTGTGCTGTGAATCATTTGGACGGAGCAGAGTCTGAACGTCAGTCGTTTGGCATTAGAGAAGCTCGTTCGAACCAAAACTCGTAAAATCGTTCACTTCTTGAAACTCAGGGGATAGGATCAGTTGCCATACTTCTATCCTGATACGGGGGCTGAAATATTGGTAGCACATAACGGATGGGGTGTAAGAAGAGATTCAATTTGTTGTGCTGCGGATTGTGTTACTGTGTACACAGAGACGGCATGGCAAGTGATTTACGGATGGACGTGTGTAGCCGAGGTAAAATCCCAGTAACATTTTTTTAGTAACGGTTTTTCAGAACTCCCGCTTGAACGCGTTCATACTTTCCGTCAGCGTTCTGAAGGTTTCGAGCGTACGCCAGCATTTTGAGCGTAAACTCAAACTTTTCGCGGGCAGTCGCTGCCTGGCGTACGCTCAAAACGCTGGATCGCGACGCCTATATTGCCGACTCGCTGGAAACACTAAAAAGCTGCGGTGCGCTGGAGAAGCTGTCGAAAAGTATGAGCGCGGCCTTAGGGACCTACAATACATGCCAAATGCCTGCACTTGGTGATCATTAGTGGCCCACCCATATTTATACGCTTTGAGCC